CTCCATGTTTGGATCCCCCAGATGGAGCCCAAATAAGTCCCTCAGTTTCTTGGACTGTAAACCATCCCAGGTGTCATTGGAATGTGCAGATATCTCACTTCTCTCTTAAACAAACTATTATATTCCTAACACTAGGGTATATAAAAAAAAACCAAACCCAACAATATGCTTCTAATACTAAGATACAAAAAGCCAACACTAAACCCAACAAAACAACACTAAACCCAACCCTATGCTTTTAACACTAGGGTGCAAAAACAGCACTACATTTAATTTCTAACATGTACCAAGTGATTGAAGACTGTGTTGTTACCTGCTGTATTTTCAAGAATCCAGGCAGGATGGAACAAATCTGTTTATGTCTAAGATGGCCTCTGAAAAGTCTCCCTATAGGCTTTGTTGCTTTTGTTTTAATAGGTTAGTTCTATAAACTGTTCTCTCAGAACACCAATTAAACCTTTGTTTTCCTTCCTTCTGTTGTGTCCTGCAGGGATCCGGAGGGCTTGAGAGTGTTTTACTACCTGGTCCAGGATCTTAAGTGTTTAGTCTTCAGTCTTATTGGACTACACTTCAAGATTAAACCAATTTAAAGAAAACAAACTGGGGTTTGTATTTTGACTGGCTCTGGGTTTCTCTGCCTTTGTTTTGCTCGGTTTTCACTGGTTTTATTGCGCGCTGGCCCTTTAAATGGGAAAAAACCGAACTGCGCATGCGCAGTAGCTTTTTACCGATTTTTCTCGGTTTTCCGCCGTTTTTCCCGCGGTTTACCCTTTTTCCTTTCCTTGCCCTCTCCCCGCGCATCTTTTCTGACCAGCTCCGGGTTTCTTCGCTTTTTTGGGGGCTTGTTTTTAACCGCTTTTACTGTGCGGTGGCTTTTTAAAGGGATTTCATCGGTTTTCTGCGGTTTTTCTCGCGGTTTGCACCTTTTCCCCTCCTTGCCCAATCCCCGCGCGTGTATTTTTGTCGGCTCCGGGTTTCTCCGCCTTTGTTTTGCTCGGTTTTAACCGGTTTTATGGCACGCTGGCTCTAAATGGGAAAAACCGAACTGCCAGTAGAGTAATTTATAACACTCAAGTCTCTCTCATTTCCTTGAATGTATTTGGTGATTCTAAAAGGTTAGTATTGTGCAAGTTTAAAACTTGAAGCTATTCAATGTAATCACATATATCCACAATGTAATCACATATATCCACACATGTATCCAATGCTTGTTTTACTAAAAGTGCAGAAGTGAAAAGCAATGACACTGTCACAGAAGAAGCAAGAGGATTTTGAGAGTGATCAGCTGAGACTACCTGAGGTTGTGTTTCACTTTTGTTGTAGAAAAAAGAAGAAAAGACAGTGTCACTTTTTGCAGTTGCCTGCAGCTTCCTATTTTCTTTTCCTTGTATTTTATGCCATAAGATTAGATGGAATTCCACGACTTAGGCCTGGG